CTGTCTGGGCAGCCCATGGCATTCCACAAGCACAATGGGGCTGATGGGCACAGGCTGCAGAAATCCATGCAGGAGGCTTGGGCTGAGCTCCAGCTCTGGACCTACAGTGGGCTCTGGCCAGGGCTGATCCCCCCATCCCACAGAGTGACAGCTTTCCTGCCTAGGAACAGAGGGAATAACATCTGCTGTGCTCCACAACACAGAAGGGTAAATAAATCCACTGGGATGGGCTGTAGAAGATTCCAGATGAGTTTACTGGAGCACTTTGCATTTTTGTCACAGGGTTCAACCTTAAATCCACCCCCCAAAACAACAGGATCTTCCAGAGGTTTGTTCAGTTCAGCTTCCAGCAGCCAAGCAACAGTTTTTCCTGTGCCCTGACCAGAAACACAATCCACTGCCTGCCAAAATCATCCTTGATCCCTGCTCCACCACATCCCAGAATCAGAAATGATCCTTGATCCTCTGCTCACCACATCCCACAACCCAAAATCATCCTTTGTCCACTGCTCACATCCCACAACCAGGAATCCTCCTTGATCCACTGTTCACACTCCACAATCCCAAATCATCCTTGATCCACTGCTCACCACATCCCACATCCAGGAATCACCTTGATTCCCTCCTCAGCACATCCCAGAAGCAGAAATGATCCTTGATCCCCTGCTCAGCACATCCCAGAAGCAGAAATCCCCCTCCCCACCCAGCCTATAGTGCAGAGTGCTGAGGGAAGGCATGGTTTGCACAGGGAATTAAAAAAGGGAGTTAAAAAGTCACCCCAGTCAGCCTCAAATCCTAATGAAAAGCCTCTCAGCTGTGTCTTACCGAGATTTTCCTTTCCTTATATCCAAGAACACAAAGGAAACACAAGAGGCAGAGCAAGAGGTGAAGGGGAAAGCTGGGTAGCACGGGGAGCAGAGGGAGCAGGGAACAGAAAAGGGAGAAGGCGAAGAACTGGGGACGTGGGCAAGCAAAGGAGCCAGAAATGCAGGTTAAAAAGGCAGGGTCTGAAAAAGGCAATGAAATGAAACTGGAGCAGCCCAGCAAAGCAAATCCATGGGGAAGAGGCAGGAGTGACCCAGGATGAGGGACAGGAAGGATGGAGGGACCCACAGAGTTTGTAGGATGAGACCCAAAGCAGTTCCCAGGGCCAGCACATCACCCCCTGCCATCCCTGCCCATTCCCTGTCCCTCTGCCCAGGAAAGTGCCCCCAGCCCAGGGGAGCTCGGGACTGTCAGGGATGGCCCAGCACCCTCTGCCATGGCCACCTCTGCCATCTGCTTTGGCTTGTGCCAGATGGGAAGGGGAGGGATGGGATGGGGGATGGGATGGCGGGGATTCATTTCTTCCCATTCTTTCCCGGGTGACATTTAAATGGCTGGTCCCAAAACGCTCCGTGATTGCTGTGCTTCTCCCAGCGAGTCTTTCCCAATAAATCATTTAGAGGCAGGAATTAAAGAGCAGCAGCTCCCACCCCAAAGGCACAGACACCTCCCTCCTCCCCCCCTTCCCCTACGCGCATGTTTTGGATCTGGTCGAGCAAAGGGGAGAGGGAACAGGAGGAATTTTCCACGGGTTCGGGGAACAATCGAGCCCCGCGTGGTTTTTTCCTGGTTAAAACACCTCCCTGCAGCAGTGTGTGCTCACCCGGCCCAGACAAAGGCGAGGCACACGCAGGGACCGGCCCCGTCTTGCTGCAGCCGCCGGGGCCGGGCTGGAGGTGCGGGAGGAGCGGGGGAGACGCTCCCGCTCCAGCCCCAGAGCCGAGCCCGGTTCTGAGTCAGCCTCACCCAGCCCCGAGTAAACCTTCCCCTGCCCGGGCCGTGCCCAGCACGGGGGTTCGGCGAGGGGAAAGGGGATGGGGCAGCTTTGGGAAACCCTGCCGGGGGTTTAGGGTTTGTGCGGCACCATCGCTCTCTGTGCAGATCGAGGTGGGAGAGAAGGAGCCGCGTCCGTCACAGCAGGGTTTGCTTCAGCCTCCTGCCCCATTTCTCCTGGGATTGAGCCCCTCCACTCATACAGGGTCTCCAAAACCCCCACAGACATGGGACACCGCCTTCCCCCTGCTCTGTGCACACAGCAGCAGTGGGATTGCTCCCTGAGGATAAGATGGTGGTGAGAGGTTTAGAGGGGAGCAAGGGGCACCTTCAGCACCATCTGCGGCTCCAGGGGGGCTGAACACCTCCAGAGCCAAGGGCATGAGGTTGGGGAGTGCAGGCCAAGCCCTACAGGGGCAACCCAAAGTCAAGCAAAGCATGGCCATGATCCTTTTCTCTTTGTCTTCAATTCCCTTCCCACCCCGACTCCTTTCATAGAATCCCAGACTGGTTTGGTTTGGAAGAACCTTAAAGCTCATCCAGTGCCACCCCCTGCCATGGGCAGGGACACCTCCCACTAGCTCAGGTTGCTCCAAGCCCCATCCAACCTGGCCTTGGACACTTCCAGGGATGGGGCAGCCACAGCTGCTCTGGGCAACCTGTGCCAGGGCCTCCCCACCTTCCCAGGGAAGAATTCCTTCCCAATATCACACCTAACCCTGCCCTGCGTCAGTGGGAAGCCATTCCCCTTGTCCTGTCACTCCAGGCCCTTGTAAATGGTCTCTTCAGCTGGAGGAACCCAATTCACCCCTGACAAGGAATTCCTGGCTCTGGGGATCACCCACAGCCCCCTCGGGAGGAAGGGGGTGGGATCTGAGCCCTCAGACATCCCCTGCCCAGCTGTCAAACCTCCCCATGGCTGTGGAAAACACAACTGATCTTTACAGCCCAGATCTGCCCCAAATAAGAGCTCCAGGCTTTTGCAACTCAAAGAGCTTTGAAATGTCCTTTTCCAGGACCTGCAGGACAACAGGGGGCAAGTTTGTGTCCAGCAGCTTTGCTGCTCTTGCACATCACGTCACAGCACCATTTTTGAGGCCTTTTGGCACCTATTCCCTCTTCCTTTTAGCACTAAACCCACCCTCCTGGGAGCACATAGGGCTGAAGGGACAATACCACCAGTCCCATGGGAATGATGTCAAGAGGATCCTTAGCTCTGTGTGTGAAGAAAGATGAAAAGCCACCAGTTTTCACCAAAAAAAAATTTCCTTAGCTCCTTCTCAAAGCTCACCACACAGGAGCTACACAGACTTGGGCCCAGAGTCCTGCTGGGAGATCTCTAAGCAACATTTTTGTGGTGCAGAGGAAGGTTTTGCCAAACTCCTTCCCACCTCCATCCTCCCGAGCCGGTGGTGGAGCCAAAGCTGCTTTGGATCCCTGTGCCAGACCATCAAAGAGAACATCGAAGCAGGGACCCAAACGAATCACAGGATGCAGTGTGAGGCTCCAACAGCCCTTGTGTGAAGCTCAGTGTTTAGATTGGATATTGGGAAGGAATTCCTGGCTAGGAGGATGGGGGGGCCCTGGCACAGGTTGCCCAGAAAAGCTGTGGCTGTTCCATCCCTGGGAGTGTCCAAGGCCAAGTTGGAGCAACCTGGGCTAGTGGAAGGTGTCCCTGCCTGTGGCAGGGGTTGGGATGGGATCAGATTTAAGGTCCCTTCCAACTCAAACCATCCTCATTGATCCCAGGTGGATGTGCCAAATTTTCCCCTCCTTGTTCTCTGTGGATGTTTGTGCTTCTTTAGCTCCTTTTCCAACATCCAGCAAACGAATTTATAAACACTTGTGTTTTACCTAAGAGGTGATGGCACTTGGGTGGTCACAGAGAGATGCTTTCCATATATAACTTGTGTGGGAATGATTTTGGATGGCTGAGAGCCTTCCTTGACAAGGAGCAGGAGAAGGAGCAAGGCAGCTTTTCCAGAAGACAGTGTCAGTTTGCTTTGCCTACCAAAACAAAGGGTGGGATTGCTGCACGTGCAAACACCCAGGAGAGAGCTGGGACGGCCATTTAAGCACAAAGACAATGTTGGCATGAAGCCAATCGGGGGGAAAAATTGGCTACAAATAAACATAATTTGGATTTCAAAGGAGCTTTGTAACTTCGAGAGCACTTGGCTTGGGGAGGGAGGGGGGAGCTGAGGGGGAAGCACCGTGCCTTTGGGAATGGGATCCATGGACAGCAGGCCTGGATTGGGCTCAGAAGGTCTCTCCCAGCTCTATCCTTCCTGGAAGATATCCCACATATAGGTTTCCAACTGGGAAGCTAAGCCTTGCAGCCCCAGTGCTCAAGGTCCCCACAAAGCTGCATCAGGAGCTCTTGAAACATTCCCAGATGGAAAATCGATCCAAGAAAATACTTGAGCTGGTTTCCCTTGGATTGCTTATGCCTTGAGAACACAAAGTTTTCAAAGTATTATAACAACAATAATAATAATAATCTGGGAGAGCTGCAACAAGAAGTTATTTTCAAGGAAAACGAAGGACAGCTTGTTCTTCCCAATCCCACGGTTTCCTCCAAAGAAATGCGTCAGAGCTGCTGTACCTGGAGGTCAGGGGGGAGAAAATCATGGAAAAAAGGGCTCATTGGAATGGCTGCAAGGAGTATTTTGGATGAAAGAAGAGGGTGTGAATGTGTCCTGTGAGGACAGAAATTGTTCCTGCCCAGGGTGAGTGAGGGATGAACAGCAGGAATTTAAGAGGGGAAAAAACCCAAATACTTTGTAGTGGTAAAGACAGGGAAACGTTGGAAGGATTGTGTAGGGAAATGTTGGGCTCCCCATCACTGAAGGGTTTTCTGACCAGCTCAGACAGGTTTTCAGGGAGGATTCCTGAAAAGCTGGTCCTGTTTTGGGGCAGGATCAGGGATCAGGGTTCTTTGTCTTCTGCAATGGTAAGAAATATCTCCTGTGACTCCAAGATGAAAACATGGTCTTCTCTGATCCCTCATGTTCAAGGCTGGACACAGAATTGCTGCCAGCAAGGATCCAACAGGCCCTCCACGTCCCACAGGACCTGGAGACACCGGGAAAGCAGCGGGAACACCCCAGTCCCAGTCTGTGGGATCACAGTCTGGAGCGCAACCATAATATACTATTACATTTTAATTCCATTTTTTTTTAATGAGAAGCTCAGGAAAGGCTTGTTGTTAAAATGCCAAGGGTTTTATAAATCCCAGGGACACCAAGATACAAACAAACAAGAGTTTCAGTGTTGGTGTGGTGTGACAATGACAGCAGTGATGGTGCTCAGAGCCTGCAGAGCCCCAGGGGGTGGGTCACGTCCATCACCATCACCCTGAGAATGATAAAACACAATAAATGCAGGTTTTTATACATTGATATCTTGCAGCCACCTCTGTAATTCATGGGGAAAAGCATCCAGTTACCACCAGCAGGAGGTTAAATCTTAAACCACAACACACAAACCTGACAATGCCAGGCAGCAGGACACCAGGAAACCATGGAAAGAAAAGCCTGGTGTAATAGAAAAGAGAATTAAATATGGTTATCACTTCTAAGGAATAATCTCCCAGAAATTTCTTTAAATGCAACAGAGAGATTAAAAAAAAATCATAAAAATCAATGGGAGTTGAGGTGGGATAAGGACAGAGAATTCAGGTTCAATGACCCAAAATGCCCAAAATCTGCCCTGAAATGTCCCCATACTGCTCCAAAATGCCCCAAAACGTACCCAAATTGACCAAAAATGCCCCACAATGTCACAAAACTGCCCTAAAACTGCCCCAAACTGACTCAAAATGGCCCAAAATGACATAAACTGCAGCAGAATGCCCCAAAACTGCCCCAAAACCTCCCCAGGGGCCATCACGCACACTCCAGGGACCCCAAACACATCTCAGGGGCCCTCAAACACACCCCGGGGACCCCCCAGCCAGCCCAGGACCCCCACCCTCCAAAGGGGTTGTGAGGGCTGAGGGGTTGCGTTGGAACCTTAAACACACAAAGCACAGCTCCTCTTTTCCCTGCCTGAGGAATCACACGCTCCCAGGGACAGGACAGAGATTTCAGGTTCAAGCGAATATTCTGGTTATTTCAAAGGATGCTGAGGAGACTTTTAAAAGCCCATTTCCCACAGGATCTGAGGTCAGAGGAGGCACCTGAAGGGAGCAGAGGAACAAGATCAACTCCCACCTTATTCTGTACTTCCCTTTCTCCCAGCCCCAGCTTCCCAATCCACAGTGAGGGTAGGAAGTTCCACCCTCCCAAAGGGCTGGAAGGAAGCATTGGAAGACTGAACAGGTAAAGCACAGCTCCTGTTTCCCTGCCTAAGGAATACACCCAGTCCGAGGGATGGGGTGGGATCCACGACCACGACACGCTCGGATCTCCGTAGGGATCGGGTTTAACGTGCCCATTCATCCCATTAAGCCTGAGCCTTGGCTTAGCAGAGCTCCAGGGCTGTGCACACTGTCCTGACAGCTGTTAAGGCCTGACCTGCTGGCTCCCACTGCTTCCTGTCCCGTCCTGTTCCTTCAGGAACAGCTGATTACCCCTTTCCCTCCCCAAGGAGCCCAACGAGCCTGAAGGTGGGCTGAGACTTCCCAGCTGGAATGTCCACGACCCTTGGCTCCCAAGGCACTCAGGGATCCAGAATGTGTCTGTGTGTGAAGCCAAACAAACATGGAAACGTCACAGGGAATGAGGAACTGTGAGCTGGGAAGTTATTGTGCTGTAGGACAAAAGTCCAGGGAAGCACCAGGAAGGCAGAGCACCGTTGCAACGGGAAAGGACTTATCCAGCAGGGAAACCCTGACCCAGGAAGGGACAAACATTTATGTGGGGATCAGATAGACATCCAGAGGAAAAAAAAGTAACAGCTTCAGTAGCTAAAATACCCCAGAAAACAGATTTCAGCACTAATTCTTAACTCCTGTCCAGTTTATTTTCAGCCGCCACAGCCACTCCCTGTCTCTTCCCCCATCTCTGAGGCAGGAGGTTTTCAGCTCATCACCTGAACTACTTGGTAAAAGTCACTGGGAGCAGGAAATCAGACTAACTAGGTCATGGCTCCAATCCTGAACAGCCATTTCAAGGATTCTTGCCTTCCCTGGGCCACCTCTTTATCTGTCAGCACCTCAGGAAATCTGTTGGTCTCATTAAGAGCTCTGAGCACATGCTCAGCTCTGCACGGAGTGGGCTCTTCACCTCCTCCCTGCCTCTGTGGGTTGAATTAGGATATCTGTGTGAGATTGTGAGCTTACAGACACAGACTGTGGCAATAAACAGCTCCCTAAAACCTGGTTTCTCTGGAAACCCCAGGACAGGCATCGTGATGCTCTCGGGAGCGTGGCTGTAAAACACCGAGTGCTGTGGTCACACCTTTCCACGAGCAATGAACCCTTCAAATCTCAGAGTTAATAACAAGCAGGAGGCAGGGTAAGTTAATTTGTAAGCTAGAACAGCTTCATAAATAAAAACCTGTAGGAAAACTGGAAAATTCTAGTACTGAAATAGAGCTGCCTGCAGTTTAAAGCCTCCCCTCCTCAGTGTGTTGGCAGCTCGGTGCCTCCTTTTGTGGCAGTTTGCTGTCAGGCCCTTGGGGACATCATGAAAGCACCTGTTCTTTGGATTTTGGGTTGTCACAGAGCAGGTCTGTCCCTTTGGGGAGGTGCCAAGGCCTGCACAGGTCGGGCTCTGCTGCCCAGAGGGGATTTTCTGGGCGGGCTGTTGCAGGGAGAGCTCTGCTGTGGGTGGGTAAAGGCTCCCGGAGCTGCTGAGCTGCCACCTTTTACCTTTCCCTCAGCCTGGAATTCAAGGGTTGGGGGTTTTTTTCAAAAATGTAAACAAGCCAAGCTGCTAATCTGGCCTGGTGGCTGGTTCCAGCCCTGCTCTCACTGCAGGGATTGCTGACGATCCCAGTGCACAGAGCCCTGAGTAAATATTGGTTCAGACACGGGTGGCTCGTGGGCAGAAAGCACGAGGCTCCTGCTGCTCAAATAAACAGCCTGGCAAAAGCAGCTCTGCCAGGGCTGGATCTCCCTGTGTCCCTCCTGCAGCACCCCTGTGACTGCATCCACAGGGATTATACCCAAAATAAAGCAGCACAAAGAGGGAAGAAATCCCTCTTTGCCAGTTGTGCTGGCAGAGGTTGGTCTCTGGCTTGTTCTCAGGAGTGAACTGGTTCCTCAGCCACAATTAAGGGGAAGCGTGGGATATAACTTATTCCAGGCAAAATAACCTTCCCTGCCCTCCAGGCTCGTTCATTTTATTGGTGGGAAAATATGCTCTTATCGCAGGACTGATCTAATGGGGGAGGTGGGGAAGTCTCCTTGGAATATCTGCATTTTAACGAGCTGCTGGGTGAAATGTTTCAGCAGGCAAAGCTCCCTCTGAACTCAGACTCTGCACAGGTCTTACCGCTCATCCTGCCGGCATCTGTTTGTTTTGATAACATTTCCAAACGAAAGGAGCAGTTACAAAAGCCGGGCTGTGCCGGGCACTTCCTCATCCCTGAGCTTGGCTGATCCAAGCAGGGCAGGAACTGAAGGAAAACGAGCCACCCCTGCCCCCTCACCTGCCTGGGAAAGTGGCCTGTCCTGCAGAGACACGTCAGATGGTGATGGACTTCTGGGAGAGAGCAAAAAATAAACTAGGAAAGTCTCCACACAGCAAGCAAATGAGGGGAAAGGGTCAGCAGAGAAGGAAAATATTCATGGAAAAATCCCCTAAAGCTGGTGCCCTCAGAACTGCTGCTCACAGTGGGATGGCACAGGGGGGCGTTTGCCGAGGGCCCTGCAAGGTGCTGGGCTCCCCAGCCTGCTCTGCGTGGCCCAGGGAAGGGCAGGGCTCCTTCCCCTCTCCACATTATCCCCCTTTTCCAGCAGCAGAGCTCCAGCAGCCCCGGCTGACTCGAGGGGGATGGACACGACTGCAGCTGGTCCAGCACAAAGGAACCAGGAACTGCTCTGGGGGAGGGAGGGGGTTCTGTCACTTGATTGTTTTGTAACCACCTCGGAGTTCCTCAGGGCCTTCCTTCATCACTGGCAGCAACACCCAGAGGAAAATCAATACAGAAATCAGGCTCGTAGAACATTAATCTTAAATAACAACTCAGTGCCCGAGCAGACCTCTTTCCCAAGAAATCCCAAGGTGTTATTCCCAGAGTCTTCCTTGTGCCTCCTGCTCTTGGCCAACCCCTTCTCCAGCTGATTTTATTTCCTGTTCTCACCTCAACCTTTTCCCCCTCAGCCCCACATTACTTTTATGTGGAAGCTGAACAGCAGTTCCTGGTTGGTTTGACCCTGCAAGCTCAAAGAAAACAACTCAGCCCTTCCCAGGTGACACTGGATTCCACCCCCTAAATCAGATTTTAAACATCTGTTCCCTCATCTGCATTCAATTTCTCTTCATCCCAGCTCATTTAAAGAGAAAAACAGAGATCCCAAGTTTCTTTGGTTGGCCTGAACTAGTGACTGCTTTCTTCTAATTCAGTATCTCCCACAGATCCTGGAAAAGAAATTCTTCCCTGTGCTGGTAAACACCTAAAATTCTGGCTCCATTTGGCAGTGGCAGAGTCTCCTTCCAGCTCAAGTGGGTCTGCAGAAAACCTGACCTTCAAACAAAATTAATCTCACAAAGAAAATGAGAGTTTTCCAGCTAGAAAAGGTGTTCTAATTACTTGTCCCACAAAGATCAGAATAGATTCTGACACACTAAATAGTGATTTAGTGGGGGAGTGTTTAAAATTAGATAACTGGTAGTTGACTGTTACCCATAAGGAGATGAACTAGAAAGGAGAAGAAGGAGATGCTAAGAAGGAGATGGGTTGATTTAAGAGCCTTTTTTTATCAGACTTATAAAATGTAGGTCTTATAACTTTAGGAATAACCCTGTCCAGTGTTTTGATAAAGCCTCACAAGCTTTTGCTGTCCTTCATCTCCACACAGAGCTGACCAAGACGAACATTTCAATTATTCCATGACTCAGATCAGCTAAATTGCAGGGTGAAGTCATCACACACAATGATTTCTGTGAAAACATGTCCTGATGGACATCTCTACCTCAGCTCCTGTCCTGCTTTGGTGCTTGGCTGCATCTCTAGATAACTCTTAAAACTGTAAGCACAGGCAGAGTCTTCCTGCAGTGGAAATGGAGAGAAAAGGCAATCAGAACCACTTGATTTTAAAGCCTGGCTCAAGAAATTAATTAATATCCTTTCTTACCATTTTTTGGGAGTTACTAAATGTGCAGTGCTATGCCTGGACTGCACATGCTTTGGGAGAGAGCTCATGTTTTTCTTTGTTGCCCTCCCTGGTCAGCAAATCTGAGTGAGATTAATCCCCATGATGCTGCTAAATGCCATAACCATCTCTTTCCACCTTCAGGAAGAGCAATGTCAGGATGATGCAGCTGAGCAGAAGGTACACAGGGTTTTCTGCTACATGTCAAGTGCAATTTTTTTCCCATTCCCCTTCCCTGGAGCTTGTTTGCTCCTTTAGAACAGGGATGCAGGAGCTGCTTCAGCTGCAGCTGCTCCAACAGCCTCCTCAGCAGCAGAAAAACACAGAAGCCCCAATAATTGCAGCTGGGTTATTTAATTCTGCTTTAGTCACCAGAACGACAGAAGGCTTTATCTTTCCTTCTTGAAATAAAAGATGTAACTATGGTTTCAACGTGTACGATCTCAGAACCAACAGGTCTTAGGAGTGTTTCAGCTCCTGAACATCTTTCTAAGCACTAATCTGCTGTCACTGAACTTGCAAACCTGGAAAGACAATGAAGAGGAAAAACAGTTACTTATTCCATGCCCATTTCTTGCCTTAAGGTGTTTACACCAGCGACCAGTTTTCAATTTGACTTGAAGCTCTTCCTGTGCTGCCACAAACTCTTCTTCCAACCTGTTTCGCTAACTAAAACCCATAAAAGCTGGACAAGGAATCATTAACTGGTGATTTTGACTGATGGCTGAGACCTCTTTTGTGAAATGAGGCTGCAAATCACGAGGAAACAAGTTAAGAAGGAAACTCCAGGAAAATAAACTCAGCCTGAAACAATTCCAGCTTAGATCCCTAATGCAGAGTTCAGTTGTGCTGCTGCTTCTGTACTTTCTGCATTGAGTGCTCTGGTTACTGAGTAACTCAGACTGTCCAAGACACTTTCCCAGATGGTTTCTTGCAGCCCAATTGCTGTGACCTGCTTGTGTAAGAGCCCAGAGCAACTGGGACCTGCTGGGAGCTCCCTGAGAACTGACACAATATCCCTGCAGCACCTCCTGCCTCGGGCTGTGCTGGCCACGTGGAACAGATCTGTTGGAGGTGGGAAGGCTGGGGTAGCTGGGAGGAGACTTTGATGGTGTATTTGAGGACACCTGTGTTGAGTTTGGGATGAACTGGAGCCTCAGGACTTTGATGGATGAGTCTCTATTTGCAGCTGTTTGTAAGATTGAAATATAATAAAGAAATGAAGAAAGATAAAGCTGTTGGGGAGTGTCTGAAGAAGGGACAGGGAGATGACGAACGGTCTGAGGAGCAGCTGAGGGCACTCGGCTGGTTCAGCTGGAGCAGAGGAGACTGAGGGGAGACTCCTCGGGGGCTGCAGCTCCTGCCCAGGGGAGGTGGAGGGGCAGGGACTGAGCTCTGCTCTGGGACCAGGGACAGGAGCCAGGGAAGGGCTGGAGCTGTACCAGGGGGTTGGGATGGATCTCAGGGAAAGGTTCTTCCCCCAGAGGGTGCTGGGGCACTGCCCAGGCTCCCCAGGGCAGTGGGCACGGCCCCAAGGCTGCCAGAGCTCCAGGAGCGTTTGGACAACGCTGTGAGGGACAGGGTGGGATTGTTGGGGTGTCCTGGGCAGGACTGGATGATCCCTGTGGGTCCCTTCCAGCTCAGAATACTCCAGGATTCTATGAATCTTCCCAACGTGTTGAAAGCTGCTGTGGCACAGCAGATGTGGGCAGGTAGGAATGGCTGCTCAGACATTGCCTGGCAGGGTTCACTGCTCCCTGAATTCGATAATTCCAGGGACTGTGATGCCAAACTGGGGATGCCGCTGGGGCAAATATGTCCCCATACAGTCGGAAAGGGCAATCCTGGCAAACCAGGGGTAAAAACCCAGCTGGAGATGCCAACATCTCCAAGTGCCTCAGCTGTAATCCTGGAGCTGTGAGTCAGAGGCTGCCCTGGGAGGGTTTTATGAATCACTGTTGCTGCTGAAGGGAAGTGAGGCCAGGCCACCTCAGCAAAACTGCAGCTGGAACTAATCCCCGGGATATTTAACACAAACCCAGCACAGGTTGGTTGGGCTTTTGCAGAGCTGTTTTGCCTTTCTCCAGGCACTCAGCTGTGAAATGGAGCGATGGCCCAGGGAGGTGACAGGTACTCAAAGGGCAAAGCTGCTCCCAGCGAGCAGGAAAACAGCTGCGAGGATGAGCCCTCAGACACAGAGCCATCGGGAGGAATTACCGCGGGATTAGCACATGAATAATAAATGCCATTATTGGGAAGAATGAAGTCCAGCACCGAGTGCTAATGCAGCCCTTCCACCCACTGACACATTCGCCCCCATCAGGAAACCCCTCCGAACACAACACACAACACAGGGATTGCTACAGCTGCTCCCGTGTGCTTCCTTTGGTCTGGAAATTCTGGAATTGCAGCTATGCCATTGTTTCAAGATGGTCGCTGGGTAATGCATTAAACAGAAGACACTTTCCCCTCCATAAATGAACCCCCAAATCTCGAGAGGTGAAAGCTTTGACATCTCAGTTCTGGGAGCTAACGGATGATTCCTGCAGGAGGAAAAGGACTTTCCTCTTGCACCTCTTACTTTCCATGATTCCCAGATTATTCCCTGGCTGCTCTCCAGGCCAGGCTTCTCCCCTAAGCTGCAGAAAACTGTTTTCTTTTTCAACACACTTTGTTCCATCCTGGGCAATCAGAGCAGTTTCAGGACACAGAAAGTGGGTGGGGATTTAGACAATTATCCTTCTGCAAAGTGGAACCAATCAATGGATCATCCCTGTGCTCAGAGCTCCTGGATGGAAATATTTTAAAGCAAATAAAAATAAATAAGATAGTAAAAAAAACCTCTAATAAAAAAATGCAGCTGTGGCACCTGAAGGCAATAAAATAAGCGTGTTGTAGCTTGAGTTGAATAAAGAAAAAAAGAAATGCAGCCATCTACAATTTTGTAATAGAAAACCATTATTGTGATAATCATTACAATGTCTCTCTAGTAGTTTTATTTGGCTCTATAAACACCTTTTCCCACTTAATTTACAAGGCATTCCTGCCTGAAAACTCGATTCAGCATCACTTAAACCATTATTTGGAGCTTTCTCTCCATATGGGATAAATCCACTTTTTATGATGTGCCCCCTGATGTGCTCCTGACTTGGTTTTCAGGCTGCAGTGTTCCGAAGTGGCTCGTTCAAAGACCTGATTCCCAAAGTCATGGGAATTATGACCTATTTGCTGCTTTAGGATGAATTGTGAAGCCTGACCCTCACCCCGAAGGGATGAAGGTGCATTTCCATCAATCTCATCCAGATGAGGTGCCCCGTTTCCAAATTCCCATCTTTTCCTCCAGGCTGTTCTTGCTGTGGGGCTGCAGAGAGACCCAACCTCGTCCCCAAACCTCGGATTTCCAACGCTCCTGGCAGGAGATGGAAAGCAGAGGGCAGGGGATGTTTGTTCTGGGAGTGAGCCCAAGTTCTGCTGTGTAAATAACCAGGATTTACCCACTTCCTCACCAAGGCACAGCAAAAAGCCTTTTTATCTTAAAAGATCATCACTACCAACCATTCCCCATCCCTGTTCCCCTATAAATCTATAAATCAACCATTCCCCATCCCTGTTCCCCTATAAATCCATAAACCTACTATTCCTCATCCCCATTCCCCGTCCCTGTTCCCCTGTAAATCCATAAACCAGCCATCCCCCATCCCTATTTCCCTGTAATTCCATAAACCAACTATTCTCCTACAAATCCATAAACCAACCATTCCTCATTCCTATTCCACCATAAATCCACAAATCAGCAGTTTCCCATCCCTATTCTCCTATAAATCCATAAACCAACTGTTTTCCATCCCTATTCTCCTATTAATCCATAAACTATTACCCATCCCTATTTCACTATGAATCAACATTCCCCATCCCTACTCCCCTATAGAACCATAAACCAACCATTCTGCATCCCCACTCCCCTATTAATCCATAAACCAACCCATTCCCCATCCCTATTCCACTATAAGTCCATAAACCACCTCCCCAGCTGGTCCAAAGGGATCCAGGAGAGGCCAGAGCACGACCACAACCCAAATACACCCCAAGACCAGATCCCAACCCCAGCCCGTCCTTATTAGGACCTTTCACACTACTCGAGGCGCTTCATTACTGTTTTTTAAGCGAAGTTTCCCTCAGCGTCGAGTTTTGTGCCCAGCGGGGAGGGCGGCGGTGCCCCCGGGCTGCCCTCAGGGGGGTCCCGCTGCCGCCCCTGCACCCCCGGGGCTGCACCGTGCGAAGCCCCCACGTCCCTCCCTGTCTGTCCAGGTCTTTCCAAGTCATTCCAAGTCTCTCCACCCCTGTCCTCCCTCCCACCTTGGCCCCCCGGTTACCTCAGCCAGGCGGGGCGCGGGCGCGGGACTCGAACCGGCGGCTCCGGGGGCAGTGAGGGCTGCGAGGCGCCCGCTGTCCGAGCCCCGCCGGGCCCCGCCCACCCGCGGCGCGCGCAGCCAATCACAACGCGCCGCTACCCCCGCCTCCCCTGCTAACCCGTGCTCACTGTCCCGCCCCCACTCTCCCTTCAGCCAATAGAAAGCGATGTTTTCTGATTGACACCCGCACCGCTCAATGAAACCGCTTTCTCTTTGGGGGCGTGTCTCGCGTAGAGGGGCGTGCTCTCAGCAGGGGGCGTGGCGCAAGAGGGTATATAACGAGCCACTTGGGCCGCGGTGCCATTTTGTGTAGCAGCGCCTGGGGAGCGGCGGAGGAGGCGGCGGAGGGTTTCGGGGTTCGGACCAGAGCGGCCGGATGGTGAAATCCTCCCTGCAACGGATACTCAACAGCCACTGCTTCGCTAGAGAGAAAGAGGGGAATAAAAGCACCATCATGCCCGCTGTGCTGAGCCTCAGTACCGGACAGAGCAGGTGAGGGGCCGCGGCCTCCTTCGGCCTCCGCACCCGCCGGGCGCTCGGTGTCTCCTTCCTCCTCCTCCTCGTTGTCCCCGTGCCCGGTGCCTCCCCGGTGGCCGCGGAGGGTGTGGGGGAGGCCCCGTGGGCAGCGGGGGAGGGGCGGCCTGGCCCCCGCCCTGTGGGGAAAGGCGTGAGGGGAGAGTGGAAAAAAACTACCAGAAAAAAGGGGATTTGAGCTCCCTGGGGATATCTCGGCACCCCTGAGGGCACCGGGGACACCAGCAGGGCTGCGGGGGGAGAAAAAGGCAATAATTAGGCAAAGATATGGAAAGATTGAAGGATGTTTATCTCCTTATGTAACCGTGGACACTCCGGAAAACTAATCGAGGGTAAGAGTGTTACAACTGGTGGTTAAAAACTCACCCGAAGGATTAAAGAGGCCGCACAGGTGCTGGGAGAAAAGAAAATATCTGAACTGGGGGTGCTCAGGGCTCCGATCTGCCCTTTACACCTCGTGTGTGGGCTGTGAAAGGAGATTTTTAGCCGTTTTTATACTTGACTGCGGTATAAAGATGATTTTTTTTTTATTTCCCAAGAGACGTAAATGCATGTAAACATCACTCCAAAATATATTCGTGGCTGGAAACCTTTATTTTGCATCACATTTTATGGAGGAGAAGGGTGAAATTGTGATAGGGATTGCCACTGCACCCTCCTGAAAAGGGTGTTTAAAGGTTTATTTGTAAGGGAGATCAGGGATGTATAGTTTACAGTCATTGTGATATAAAATACATAACGCTGGTACTAAAGAAAAATGGCTTTCAAACAGCGTAAAGTTGAACACTGGTTTCATTAAAAAAAAAATAAAATTGAAATTTTAGATTTTAAATAAATATATCTAAATATATGAAATAAAGTTAAAATTTTACAGTTTAAAATATATAAAGATATTAAATAAATATATAAGTATAAAGTTAAAATTTCATATATTAAAATAAAGATACATAAATAAATGAATAGCAAAATTAAAAAATTGTTTTAAATAAATATATAAAATAAACATGCGTAAAATATAGAAATATAAAGTTAAAATTTAAATTTTAAATAAATATCTAAAATAATATGCGTAAAATAAACATAAATAACCAAGTTAAAAATGTATGTTTTAAATAAATATGTAAAATAAATGCATAAAACATATAAAGTTAAAATTTATATTTTAAATGAATATATTAAATATATAAACATAAAGTTGAAATTTGTATTTAAAATATACAAAATATAAAATATCTTAAATAAACGTAAAATTTAAAATATAAATTTTTAATAAAAAACTATTTGCTATATATATATATATAATTTTTATATATATAATTTACTTTCCAGCACATATTTACCCTCCTCTGCTCATTCTCAACCTTTCTAATACGGATTATTCATCACAAGTTTCAAGCTCCTTAAAAGAAAAAAAACCCACCCAAAATCGCTGAAAGTGCCGTGCTAGGGGTGCAAAATGGAGGATTATTTTGGAGCTGTTTATTCGGATTTGCAAATGGCTGCAGTGGCTCCTGGCACTCGAGACAGGACGATTGTGAAAATCTCCCCAAGGGCCTCGATTGCTGCATCTGCTGAGATGACGCAACTCAAGAGTTGAGCCTGCGGGTGAAGGATGGTGCAGAGGGAGGGGCCAGCTCTGCTCTGCCACGGGAGGAGTTAAACGGGCTCCAGAGGATGGGCAGGAACTTAAAAATAACCTTCACACTCTCCAGACTCGATGTTTTTGACCCGGAGCCCCGAGCTCTGCAGCCTCGCTCCCAGGAGTTCAGTGGGAGGGCTTTGGGGCTGGTTTTGGAGGTTTGCAGAGTTCAGGTGTGGGCTCAGCTCAAGCTCCCGAGTGTGGTGGAAATAATCTCGCAGATGTCCCTACTTGAAATATTTCATGGAATTGCCTGAGCTCGAGCAGGGAGTGCTGGTGGGAAGGGCTGAGGTAATTAGGGCTGGATATCCCAGGGAAAAACCAGCCAGAGTTTGTGCTGAGTGAGGGCAAGGTGAGGGAGAAAACAGCCCATTGCTGCAGAATGGCCCTTCCGAGATCAGGTCAGGCCTGTCCTGGGACACAAACACACCTGGCTCACAGCAGAATTTTTCCTCTCTGAGTTGCTCTTTCCCTCAGTGAACTGCAGGAGCAGCTTTGTGGGCATGAAGCAATTCCTGCCCCTGGTCTGGAGACTCCTTTGTCTTCCCACTTGCTGGGGATGCAGTGGGAGGAGCCCCTTGGCCTAGGCTTGGTTTATTTATTTAAATCTTGCCATCTGATCACTGTGTAAATCCTTTGTCCATCCCTGTCTAACTGTGGTCCCTCTCCAGTTCCAGGGTTCCCTTCAATTGCTGTAGTAACCTGGGTCCGGGGCCTCAGTGGTGCTCCTGATGTCCCTCACCCACCCCTGAAGATCCCAGGTGGGCGAGGGAATAGTCAGAGGGATCACAATCTTTCAGCTAATTTATTTTATTCGGTGAGTATGAGGAGCAGAAACGGCTTTTTGGATGCATTGCTTGCCTCAGTCTTATTAAATGGGAGTTATCTCTTCTCCAGAAAGAATGGGAGAAATAACCCTGCACTTTTTATTTCCAGGATAATCGGCTGAATGTAACAGAAGAACTAACATCTAACAACAGGACAAGAATTCTCAATGTCCAGTCAAGGCTTACAGATGCCAAACACATTAGTTGGAGAGCAGTGCTGAACAACAACAACCTCTACATAGAAATTCCCAGTGGTGCTCTGCCTGAGGGGAGCAAGGACAGGTGAGGGAAAATACAGGATTAACTCCTGTCTTGGCAGTGGGCTGGAATAACTCTTTATGTTCTGAAAGCTGAAGCGTAATTATGGTGCTGGATGTTCTCCTGTGAGAGATTGCAGCTCAGTGGTCCTGGTTTGAGCTGCAGGCAGAACCACCTGGGATTTGGGATCCCACTGTCTGGGATTTTGGGCTGTTTTATCCACTGGGAACTCCAGCCTGGCTCAGAGTCTGTCACTGCAGCTCCTCCTTCAGCTGCAACAGAGAACAAGTTTTCTGTGTCATTAAGACTTAGATTTCTGCCCTCAAGGTTAGCCTGGGGCTCAGGGATCTGCTGTTGGTGGGAGGCTCCAAGCCATGCCTCTTCCTTAGGAATTCCTGTGTGGATTGGCTCACTATCTCTGAAGGGAGCTCTTGCTTCCAGTGCCAGCCCTGCCAGAGCTCAGGGATGTTTGGACAGCACTCAGGCACAGACTGGGATTGTTGGGCTGTGCAGGGCCAGGGGCTGGACTCCATCCTTGTGTGTCCCTTCCAATCCCTTCAGGACATTCCCTGCGCGCTCACACCTTGCATTTCTTCCTCAGTTTTGCAGTTCTTCTGGAATTTGCTGAAGAACAGCTTCGAGTGGAGCACGTGTTCATTTGTTTCCACAAGAACAGGGATGACAGAGGTGGGTGTTCTGGGCAGCTCTCCCGTGGGGTTTGCTGGTGGCGCAGTACCACATGGATGAAACTTGTCTCCTGCTTTGTTTTGTAGCTGCATTGCTCCGTACTTTCAGCTTTTTGGGCTTTGAGATTGTGAGACCAGGGCATCCCCTTGTCCCCAAGAGACCAGACGCTTGCTTCATGGCCTACACGTTTGAGAGAGACTCAGCAGAAGAAGACTAGATTGCAATGTTTGCCTCTTTAGAGCTTTCTTGTTGTCTATAAAGATGATTCTGTAGAAATTTTGTCAACATCTTATTCCAGTCTATATAACTCTGTACGAAACGTTGTGACCCAGCTGCTTTTTTTTTTGGTGGTGAGGTGTTGAAAATTTCAGGCTCCACATCTTTTCTCTGGATTTTTTTGGTTTTTTTGTGTGCATGGTTGTGCAAAAAAATAAATGCTCCCTCCAAATTAGCAGTATATTTCTTGAAGTTTAATATTGTGTTTGTGATACTGAAGTATTTGCTTTAATTCTAAATAAAAATTTATATTTTACTTTTTATTGCTGGTTTTAAACTGTTTAAAAAGACTTGCACTTCTTGAAGAGGTGACTCTGGAACTGCCCCAACCATTAAAGTTGCAGGTGTGGAAAGGCTTTGCTCGTTCTTTGCTTGACTGGAACTCATGGATGTGCTCTGCCAGGGCTTGGAATAATCCAGCAATCCTGGAAAAATGAATAATTAGCAGCTTGGCCATTCCCACTGGTAACTGGGATCTCTGCTAGGGTTTTTAGGATCCTTAGGGCACGAGTTGATTGGGAAGTCACAAGTGGAATGTGAGAGAAACTCAGGGCTGCTTTGAATATCAAATATGCAACTTAAATAGCTGTAATTTCAATGTTCCCAGTAGCAGTGGAGGGTGTTGGCTGGGCAGGGTGGCTTGAGGAGTGTTTTGGTGGTGATTTAGGAAGGGTTGTGGCACCGGTGCAGCTCAGCAGTGTCACTGAGGCTGGGCAGGCCCCAGAACTCTTCTTGGGGGGCAGATTGTGGTTGAGGGGTGAGGAGAGGGGCTGTTGCTGGGGTCCACAGTCACCTGTTGGTGTTTAGGTTGGTGAGAGAAGGGAAAATGGCTCATTGTGGTGCTGGAATTAGCAAAACTTGGGCTGGGAATTATCAAATGACCAAAATTATCAATTATCATTGAGTGGAAGTTACATAAGTCTGTAATGAACCGAGCTTTGAAGTGTGGTATTTTCATTTTTTCCCAATACTTGCAGGCTTGTTTGGCACAGTTTAAGCCAATGAATCTTTCCTGTATAAAACCTTGGAGCAGGGGATGGGTTATTTGGGATAGGTTATGCTGGGAGTGTGTAAATAGAAGCACGAGGTGTCTGTGTGTGCTGGGGGGGGGGGGGGGGGGGGTGTCTGACATCCCCCCAGCTTGGCTTTGGGAACAAGGAATGCTGTGACCCCACAGGCCATCCCTTGGCTGATCTGGGCTTGGAAGTCCTGAAATTGTGTGGAATACAGCAAAATATTCCATGAAACAGCTTGGAGATGCAGCAGGGAGTGGATGAATGTTTTCCCCCCACAGGGTGCTGGGGCACTGCCCAGGCTCCCCAGGGCAGTGGGCACGGCCCCAAGGCTGCCAGAGCTCCAGGAGCCTTTGGACAACGCTCTGAGGGACAGGGTGGGATTGTTGGGGTGTCTGTGCAGGGCCAGGGGTTGGACTGGTGATCCTCGGGGATCCTTTCCCACTCAGAAGATTCCAGGCCTTATCCTGCTGTGACCAAGGGTGGTTGTCCCTCCGGTGGTGGCAAAGGACTGACCTCCCTAACTTGGTTGTCCGGAAAAATTCCTGTTTTCCTGTGCCATGTTTTACTCTCCCCAGGGAGATGTTTGTACTCCTACCTTAAACATCACAGTCCCCTGGAGGTGTTCTGCTGATCTTGGGTGCTCCCAGCTGCCCCTGGCAGGAGGGGAGGGGGTGCTCAGAGCTGCCTGCCTGGGCTGCAGAAGCGGATTTTGTCTTTGTCCAGGAGGAGATGCCTGTGTTTGGGGAGCTGCTGCCGTGCCATGGGCTGTGCTGCCATCTCGTAGCCAAGACAGATACTACAGGAAGGGAGGGGGGTCAGCAGGGCACCCAAAATCCCATAATGGAATTCAAATCCCATTTCTGTGCTTGGGTGGTGCCTGTGCCAGGGTTTGGGTGGTGCAGCCTGGTGAGGAGGCTGCTCTGTGGGGTTTGGGTGGCCGTGGGCACAGGCTGCTCCTGCTGCTGGCAGGCCTTGGAGCCACAGAATTCTGGAATTGCTTGGGTTGGAACAGCCCTCTAAGATCAAATCCCAGCTACTCCCCCAGCACTGCCAAGGCACCACTAACCCATGTTCCCAGAACATCCCCATGTTTTTTGAACACTCAGGGGTGGTAACTCTGCTACTGCCATGGGCAGCCTGTTCAATGCCTGACCTCCCTTGTAGTGAAGACATTTTCCCCAATATCCAATCTAGATGGCTGTGAGCAGATTAATAATTACTGAGTAATAATTTTAATGACCTGAGCAGGGCCTCGATGGTCCCTCAGCATCCACTGGGGTTTGGAGACCGGGGTGCAGGTCCCACGTGGTGTGTCACAGTAAGGAGCAGATGCATCAGCCCTTCCTTGGTGCCCATAAACTCACGAGCTATTTGCTGGACACCATTCAGGCCGTGCTGGCTAAACACTCCTGGGCAGGGAAGTTTGGCTTTATGTTTCCCTCTGGATCCATCACTGGAGTGTGTAATGCTGTCAAAGAAGCACATAAAGGCCCAGTGTTTAAGAGGCTCAGCTCCAGGTTTTATTGAAGCTGTGTGGCTGCTGCATTTCCCCCTTCAAACTGTCATTTTTATTTGTGACTGTGCCACAAATTGTTTCTGAGAGGCTCAGGCCGTGGGAGCTGCTGTGTTCCTCCTTTGCTGAGGGTGCATTTAAGTTGTGAAGTGTGGCTTTGAGTGTTACTAAAAACAGCAAAAGCCTCGTGGCCACAGGAGGGGGCTGAGGGGGTTTTGTGCAAAGTCTGAACCTTAGAAACTTTACTCAGGAGAATCAATCACTAAATTGGTGCTTGGGGCTCCCATCCAGCCCTGTTTCCTGAGATGCTCCAATAAACCAGACTCAGAGCATCAACCAAAAATCATGTGAGGGTGTAAAAGCACCCCCTCCGTGTGTGAGCTTGGTCCCAACTCCCTCGTTCATGAGCTGTGGGGGAAGTGGGTTTGGATTTGCAGTTTTCCCAGTGAAAGCTGAGTTCCTCAGGAGCTGGTGGATTTCACAGAATCATGGAATGGTTTGGGTTGGAAGGAACCCTAAAGACCATCTACTTTGGCCCCCCCTGCCATGGGCAGGGACAGATTTGGCCACTGGGCTCTTGGCCTTGAGGAGACCTCCGGGTGGGCTGAACTTGAGCTCGGCTTTAGGGAGCATAGAGATCCTGGGTGACTTGGTAGAGGGTGTGTTCAGTGACCTCCTGGAAGTACTGGCAGCACAACCACTCCTCAAGGCCAGGTCTGCCCCCTGCCCCGGCCGAATTCTCCGCAAACCTCAGGAGCAGCAGAGCCCTTTTCACCTCCACCCAGCTCTGGAGCAGTGGGAGGGTCTTCCTGCTCCTGGCAAAGAGCTCCTGGCGTGGCCCCCAGAGCAGGACCTGCAGGATTCTCCTGGCCTGGGGGATGGAGACCCTCCTGGAGGGATCTCTGTGGAGGAGGAGTGTGGCCACGCGCCGGAGTCCTGCGGAGTAGATGGACAGGGAAGGGATTTCGGGAAGCCTGTTGCTTCTGAACCCCAGGGTGTCCTCCAGAGAGATGTCCACATGCAGGATCTGATAGATCAGCCTGCCCAGCTTCAGCTCATCTGCTGCTGGGGCGCTGGGTGCAGCCAGGCCCTTGGTCCAGTCCTGCTCTTGGCTGGTGGAACAAGGTCTTCGCTTGTCTTTGGCCTTGAAGAAGCTGCTGATGAGCAGCCGGGGGAGGGACAGTCCCAGGGGCTCCTTCTTGCCTTGCTGGCTCCCAGGAGGACACGGGCACTGCACCAGCAGCAGGTTCTCGGGGCTGAGGTCCCCTTGCCCCCCGTTCTGCCCCTGAAGGTGCTCCAGCCCCAGGCACAGCTGCAGGAGCAGGAGGCAGCCCAGGCGTTCATAGTGCCCAGGGCTGGTCCTGTGCAACCCCTGGGATCCCTTCACGAAGTCTGCCAGGGTCTGGTGGGGAACCTCGGCACAAATGAGTACCTGCAGGACAGGGTGGGTGGCAAGACAGGCAGGTTCCTGTCTGGAAGAGGACTGGCTCTGCTCTCCAGGGTTTCCTGGGAGCAGCAGCTTCCAGGGAAGGTGGTCGGTGAAGCGGCCGAGCAGGCGCTGGATGCTGCAGTGTGTCCCCAGGGAGCTCTGCACCCCCAGGCTGGAGCAGCACGGCTTGGGGACCTGCAGGGACAGAAGGACATGGCCAGCTGTGCCAGGAGAGAGCCATGGGGTGGGCCACCCCAGCAGCTCAGGGCCACCCTTTGAACCCACTGGCAGAGCCAGAACGACTTTAAGCAAGAACTGGGACATGAGGGGGGGATGGAGTAGCCCCCCAGGAGAGCTGCAGAGCTGCTTGGATGGGTCTCATCCTGCACTCCAGAGCAGCCAGCCCTGCTCCAGCCTCTCCTTTGTATACACTGGCCTCTCTGGACAACTTGCCAGGACATGTTCCCCAGCAGTGCCGTTCTCCTTGGGCCCATGGCAGCGTCACCCACGGGAGTGTCACCCTTGTCACCCCTGCCAGCAGCACCGTCTCCTTCAGCAAATGCAGAAGTAGGTGCAGAAAGGGGAAGCTGCTGCATGATGGGGCAGGAGCCATCTCCCTCTGCACCACCCAGGGGCATTTTACCAACTCCCTCCTTACCTTGGCTGCCAACTCCAGCTGGCTCTGCCCGAAGGTGAAGCCCACCCTGAAGTACCAGGCGTCCCCACTCTCACAGCATGGCTCCGGCTCCAGGATCCTCAGGGCTCCCCAGTGCTTCCCCACCAGCTCTGCCTCCAGCAGCTGCAGCTGCTCCTCCAGCCCCACCAGCTCCTCCTGGATCCGAGCCGAGAGCCGGGCCAAGGTGCCTGCCTGGCAACCCAAGAGCACCCCACAGAGCCCGGCCGGGCCAGGTAGGAGCTGCCCCAGCTCCCCATCCGCCGTCCCGAACGTCAGCTCCCTCAGCCTGGAGGACGGGTCTTCCCGGGGGCTGCTCCAGGCCACCGCTTCCCCCAGGCTCTGGGACTTGGTCAGGGGCTTCTTGGGTCCGCAGGAGGGTCTGTCCCGACGGGGGGTGGAGCTGGGAGCCCCCTCTTCGTGAGGCAGGTGGGATGGGACGCTGTAGAGGATGCTGCCGGCCCATGGTGTGGGGTCACCCTGGCAGTGGCGGGATGGTCCCTGCTCCGGGAGGGACTCTGCTCTCTGGAGCTGCTTTTTGGGCAGTGGGGGAGGCAGCGGCTCCTGGCTGGGCTGAGAGAGGGGTCTCCCAGCTCCTTCCCCTCGTCTCGCCTTGGGGGGGGTGAGGTGAGCCCGCAACTCTCCTGGGGAGGGAGGAACAGACGTGACAGAGGAGAAGAAAGTGGGAGCAGGATGGGAGTACAAACACGTCGTTCTTTGCC